TTTAAGAGTTTAAAATTGCACCTCCTCAAAGTTGACATTAATGGCATTGTCCAGAATGCACTGACAGTGGGTTTTGTACATCATAATCAATGTGTCGACCTAACAAATAAATAAAATAGCAGAATCTGAGGTAAGTAAATTAGAAGTAGCACATATACAGTAAACAGCATTTTGGAATGGGTCTCCATAGAAATGAACAGACCTTATCTTTTGAAACAGACTCCTGAAGCACTAAATGCTGTGCACTCGGGAATTCAGGTAAAAGAGTTCCTGTTTTAGAACTAAGAGAGTATTTTCTGGTGAATCCTCCCTGTGAATAATAAAGAGCATGCATATAAGTACTATTATTCTGCATACAGAATAATATTTTTTAAACCTATACATATGCAATGCATGTGAAGGTCTTACATTTTGCAAGAATACATGAGTATTCCACCACAAAATAGTTAAGGGTCATTTTTATTCAGTTGATACTTTTATTCAGCAAGGATGCATTATATTGATATCGATCTTTGGTAATAATTGCACCAAATCAGAATGAATGATTTCTGAAGGACCGTGTGACACTGAAAACTGCTGAAAATTCAACTTTGAATTCATTGGAATAGTTCTTTTAAATTGCAATAATGTCATGCAATTTTACTGTTTTTACTTTATTATTTTTGATCAATTAAATGCAGCCTTGGTGAGCTTAAGAGACTTATACTGTATATTTAAAAACATACCAACCCCAAACTTTTGAACAGTATATATCAATTTCCTGATAATGTTGAGATACTAAAATTGAAGTGCAGCAGCACTTCTATTTAATATGAAAAATAGTCAAACTGCCAACCTCATTTTTTAGCTTGCTTCCAGAGAATCTGTGCAAAACATATAAGAGACATTACTGATATGATAAAACATAAAAAAATGTAAATGAATCATGAAAATAAACGTCAATAAATATAATGTGTCTCAGTATGGGCATTGAAAAATCACTTGCATTACAGATTATTCAAACCATTCAAGGACTTGCAATCGGGTGCTGAAATGAAGGGATGAAGGTCAAAACTAACCGTGTCAAACCTTTTCCAGAGTACACAGAGTGATAATACGCACTGCTCTCCTTGATTCCAACACCATAATAATGATACCTGAAACACAAACACAGAGAGCTTTAGATGTAGCCATTTAAATAGCACATTAAATAGTAATAAATAACATTTTCAGTCAGTAACCAGGCCATTTAGCTCTCTCTTACTTCGAATGGCCTCTGGTTCCAAGCCTTCGTGTTGTAAGCAGTGGAAATTTCTGCCTTATGGTCTGAAATGACAATGATGGAGTTCTAATATATACTACAATCGATCTCCTAATGCACTGTAAATACAAAATCAATAGGTATTTCTGTCTGATAATGTACTTATTTGCCAAGCACAACCTTTTACCATTTATCACGACAGCTTTCTAAAGATCAACTAAAATAAACCTAAAATGCAATAGCTTTCAGTAGAATAGGTACCAGTTTTAGAAGTTACAGAACTGAGAACGTTTCTAATAAACATACTGTGTAACTGAAGATATAAAAACTCCTCTTACCTTCCCAAAAGTGGCAG